AGAGATCAAGTTCTGCTTATTGGCAAAGAGAACAAGTTCTGGTTTAAGTACAGAAGAGAACAAGTTCTGGCTTATTTTAATCTATAAGTGCTTTAAGTGTTTTCAGATTTAAGTACAACATAACAAGTACTCTTATGGTTAGGCCATTCAATAAGAGTAAATTTATTTACCTAATCTACAACTAATAAGCAGAGATCACACAAACAAGCATTCATGACTAAGCAGTAACCATCCATCACAACCTAATGTCTATAACCATTTATTAGCAATCAATGACAGTCTAAACCAGACCCTCGAGTAGTATGTACCTTTTTAACATTGGCATGAAACTCTGCACCAGCTTCCTCAATTTTCTTCTTCCATGCTTGCTGCAAAATGATCCCATCAAGCAATGAAGTGCAAAAATAATTTGGAAGTATCTGAAAAAGGGACATACACGTTCCTTANATTTCTGTCTATCTTCCTCNTCACATAGNTTCTCCTTCCTTAACTAACAACAACAAACATGAACAAAGTGGACAGAGAGCTTAGCAACGTAATTACCATTTATCACGCAGATCAAGTTTTGATCCTNTTGTACTTTGTTCATTTGCTTCAAGCATTTTCCGCAANTCAGCTGTTCTNAATCTCTCTAGTGGAACTAAAGGNGCANAAAATTAGAATGCGNCAGTTAAGTAAAACANGAATTGAACATCAATCAAAAGTATAGTATTAAGCTCAACAAATGATTATCATCACCAAAACAGAACAATTGTTTAACCAAATTAGCAATCTAAACAAAACCCCAAATCGATTATCATCACCAAAACCCTCAATCTCTCTAGGAAAAACCCTAAACTGGAGTACATCGATTCACAAATTCGATCAAAACCCCAAATCGGTTTTGTTACAGGATCTTACCATGCATGAAGATCGAGGCGGATTTGCCGATTCTCAACCAAATTCTCCCAAGATCTGATGTGAATCCGCCGATTATAAGACGATTCCATATGCTTCCATACCAAATCGACCACCCACGACTCAATTCCGTTATGATTTGAGACGAAAAATCATTGTATTTGGTCGATTCTGTGAAGATTTGCATCTGGAAGTCGAAACA